TGTGCGGGTTGTGCCACTGCGCATCCGCATGAAAATCCGTGCAGCCGCACCACCCTCACAGAGAAATGCGGACCCATGGGCTGGTGCCATTACTTCTAATGGCATGCCGCCCGCACTGGAAAATGCAGCCGTAAAGGGAACCTAGGTTCCCATGTGGGCTGCATTTTCAGAAGAAGTGCAGGGACTTCTTCTCTGTGTGTCATGGGGCACGGGAGTCCATTCAAATCAATGGGCTCGTGCCCACTCAAAATGCATCCCTCACGGCCGCATATATGTGAACCAGGCTAAGGAGGGACTTGTGTGTATGCCCAACACAAGGTGTGCACTCCTTGCATGCAAATGCATGCTTGGTGTCATCACTACACACTCTGGGTTCTGTGTGTGTCACACTGAATGCAGAAAGGAGGGATCAGTTCCCTGGAGGTACTGTACCAGTTATAATGGGAGACAAAGGTGATACCATAGCACAGCCATGTTTTGTCTGTAAAAAACTATCCTTGTATTTGAAAAAGGTGGTGTTGAAAGAAAGATCCAGCAAGGAACATACTTGACCTGGCTTGAGTTCTGTTTAGCTGTCAAGAGTTGTACTGCATATCATATGTTTCCTTACAGTCTTAATAGCCTCTGCAGTTATTAAACAAGAGAAAGGGTATGTGACATCAAATGACATCTGGCTCTAACTTCAATCCATGTACCTTGTTACCAAACTCTTAAGAGTTCTGAATTTGGTGCATTATATTGCCAACAAAAGGTGATAGGACAGTAGCCAGCAGGGGCAGACTGACAACTCATGGGGCCCTTGGGCAGTAGGGCATCATGGGGCCCCTGTGTCCTTGCCTAAACTCAAAAAAGCCTATGAAAAAGGTACCAGGGGCATCACATGGGGCCCCCTACTGACCCCGGGCCCTCGGGCAGTGCCTGAGTTTCCAAATGGTCAGTCCACCCCTGGTAGCCAGGTACTTTGCAATGTTATATGTGACGGGGTTGTTGCTGCTGACAACCAGTCAGACACCTTTATCTTAGGGAGACTATATATTTTGGGTTGAGCTTGAACCCAGTGAAAAACTTTAACATGATTCCTCAGACACAGCTACACAGTACCAGGAGTGGGAATGCTGGAGACATAATTGACCTAATATGGCCACATGACTTTAGCATATCACTATTTACAACTTAAGAGCTTTGAATATTCAATGAAGCAAAAAGAAAATACATTATGATATTACTATGCAAGTCAAATACAACAGGTACTGTATATACAAATAAAAAAGTAGGGCTTTACAGATGTTTATGAAGAAATACAAATTTTGGTATAATTCAAGGTAGAGCAAATAAAATATTTGCAATAACACTGCAATATTGTCGGTTTCTTTTTTTTTACATTTTCCCATCATTTGTTTAAATGGTAGTTGAGGGGCAAAGTAATTACACAGTGTGGTCCATGTTGGTTTGGAGTTAAGTCCAACATGGCCATATCTTATTCATTTTTTGGGGCAAAGAAAGTTAATTTATAGTTTGCGATTGCTTGACTAACCCAACCTCTTCTAGCCATTCAGACTGGATAGGGTCTTACCAATATAATCCTACAAGCATTTTTAAATAAAGAGAAGAAGCATTAATGATTTGTGTGTGTAATTATCTTTGAAGTTTCCAAGCAGACTTCTCATAAGATTGCAGATATTAGGAATTGGTATATTTTCTGAGATGAACCTAGTGATGTCGTACCAAAGGGTCTAATTTGTGGCACTCCCAGGTATAATATATCCTGTGGAGAAACTTAAATTGCATCCTTTGAAAAAAATGCCCTTGACAAACCCAATATGCCAGAAAAGTGTTTGGTCTTTTCTTGGTTAAATAAATATAAAATAAATGTATTGATTTTATCAGTAGTATCTGTAGAGAGTGTTTGATAGTCCTCTATAACCCAGGTGTAAATAGTTTTTTAAAAGCTTCTCAGTCACAACCCCTCCCAACACACACAAACTAGACACACAAGCACTCACTGGGTCATCTCCAGCCTGTGTTACATACTTGACATTCAGTAATCTATGGATGTGATTAATTCTTAAATACAGACCTATTATCCTTGCCCATGTTTGCTTGACCAGGGCAGGAACAGTCTTATAAGGAGGTAAAAAATTAAAGAAAAAAAGGAAAATAGAAAACTCTAAAAATGCTAATTATGTTTAAGAAAATACACCAAAAATAGTGATGACAGGTGGGAAAATTTAAAGTGGGATATGCCCAGGCCATGGGCTAAAGGAAGGAGGTTGGTTTAGCCAGCTGGTAGGAAAACTGTTGAAGTAACAACCTCAAATACAGATTCTGAGTGTGTGGGGGATATGGGGACATTTTTTTTTCTTCCACTCCATGCTGTTTTGAGTTTAAAGTTTTCATTCTAGGGAAAGGAAGGTAGCCTATGGCCATAAGAATGTAGGCTTAATTTTTCCTGCTGTCTGGCATATCCCTATGGTCCCTGGGAAAAGACACACAGGAAAATGTCAGTGTCAGGGCTCCAGGGTGTGACCAGAAGTGTGTGGAATGACGCAGGGAAACGCAAGCTTCAGATATGTTATAAATAAGACAATTTATTAAAGACTAACAATACAAACATAAACGCAGTGCACCAAACCCCAAGCTAACACAAATACATACAACAAGGTGAAACAAACCCAAACCTAAACTGATACAGATACACAGGTACATACACATATAGAGCACAACGTAATCAGGCAGGTCGATAACTATCGGGCAGGTAGGTACAGGAGGAGCAGGCGGAGAGAATGGTCAGGGTCATAAGCCAGGGATCAAAACAGGAGAAGTAGCAGAGGTCCGGATCAGGCAGGGTCGGCAACGAATCAGACAGGAACAGGAACAGGAATGCAGGATACAGGGGCCCATAGAAAACCACACACCAAGGGCAGGTCTGGCCATCCCTTAAATACACCTGCATGATCAGCTTCAGGTGTTTGGCTGGCTGCAGGGTTGAGTCTCTGATTGCTGGGAGCACCCGCTGGCCAGCCCTGGTACTGCAGCCCACAAGGCAGGGTGAGTCCCACCATTACTGGCAAGTCCATTCCTGACAGTACCCCCCCCCTCAAGGAGCGGCCTCAGGACGCTCCAAACAGTCCTAGCTGGGCAAAATGTTCCACTGCCCGGGTCTGGTAACTGGCGGGATATCAAAGACTGGCACATCGGGCAGGACTCCGGGCAGCGGCACACCGGGCAGGGCAGGAGGACTCCGCGCAGCGGCACACCGGGCAGGACTCCGGGCAGCGGCACATCGGGCAGGACTCCGGGCAGCGGCACATCGGGCAGGATCGGGCAGCGGCACATCGGGAGGACCGGGCAGCGGCACATCGAGGATGGACTCCGGGCAGAGGCACATCGAGCTGGACTCCGGGCAGAGGCACATCGAGCTGGACACCGGGCAGAGGCACATCGGGCTGGACACCGGATCACCAGGCGGAGCAGCAGGCACCGGGCCACCAGGCGGAGCGGCAGGCACCGGGCCACCAGGCGGAGCGTCGAGCACCGGGCCACCAGGCGGAGCGGCGGGCACCGGGCCACCAGGCGGAGCGGCGGGCACCGGGCCACCAGGCGGAGCGGCGGGCGCCGGGCCACCAGGTAGAGCGGCAGGCACCAGGCCACCAGGCGGGTGGCAGGAGCGGGGCAGGTGCGGGCCCCCAGGCGGGCAACGGGCGTCGGGCCCCCAGGCGGGCAACGGGCGTCAGGCCCCCAGGCAGGGCGGTGGGGCGCCGGGCCCCCAGGCGGGGCGGCGGGCGCCGGGCCCCCAGGCGGGGTGGATGGGCACTATGCCCCCAGGCGGGGCTGGGCAGGCGCCGGGCCCCCAGGCAGGGCGACGGGCTTCGGGCCCCCAGGCGGGCAATGGGCGCCGGGCCCCCAGGCGGAGAGCAGCGGCACACCGGGCAGGACTCCGCGCAGCGGCACACCGGGCAGGACTCCGGGCAGCGGCACATCGGGCCACCAGGCGGAGCGTCGGGCACCGGGCCACCAGGCGGAGCGGCGGGCACCGGGCCACCAGGCGGAGCGGCGGGCACCGGGCCACCAGGCAGAGCGGCAGGCACCAGGCGGAGCGGCAGGTGCTGGGCCCCCAGGCGGGGCAACGGGCGTCGGGCCCCCAGGCGGGCAACGGGCGTCGGGCCCCCAGGCAGGGCGGTGGGCGCCGGGCTCCCAGGCAGGGCGGCGGGCGCCGGGCCCCCAGGCGGGGCGGCGGGCGCCATGCCCCCAGGCGGGGCGGCAGGCGCCGGGCCCCCAGGCGGGGCGATGGGCTTCGGGCCCCCAGGCGGAGCGATGGGCGCCAGGCCCCCAGGCGGAGCGGCGGGCGCCGGGCCCCCAGGAGGGGCGGCAGGCGCCGGGCCCCCAGGAGGAGCGGTGGGCGCCGGACCCCCAGGAGGGATGGCAGGCACCGGGCCCCCAGGCGGAGCGGCGGGCACCGGGTCATCAGGCACGACAACAGGCATCGGGTCACCAGGCATCAGGTCATTTGGCTCGCCAGCGGGCACCGCGTCATCTGGCAAGGCAGTGGGCACCGAGTCACCAGGCACGACAGTGGGTTCTGAGTCAACTGGCATGACCACGGGCACTGGGTCAGACATTGGATCGTCTGGCTCGACAGCGGGCATCGGGTCACCAGGCATCAGGTCATTTGGCTCAACAGCGGGCACCGCGTCATCTGGCAAGGCAGTGGGCACCGAGTCACCAGGCACGACAGTGGGCTCTGAGTCAATTGGCACGACAGCGGGCACCGGGTCATCAGGTACCGGATCGTCTGGATCGACAGCGGGCACCAGGTCATCTGGCGTTGGATCGTCTGGCTCGACAGCGGGTATCGGGTCACCAGGCATGACAGCGGGCACTGGGTCACCGGGCATCAGGTCATTTGGCTCGCCAGCGGGCACCGCATCATCTGGCAAGGCAGTGGGCACCGAGTCAACTGGCATGACCGCGGGCACTGGGTCAGACATTGGATCGTCTGGCCCGACAGCAGGCATCGGGTCACCAGGCATGACAGCGGGCACTGGGTCATCAGGCATTGGATCGTCTGGCACGACAGCGGGCATCGAGTCACCAGGCATGACAGCGGGTACTGGGTCATCAGGTACCGGATCGTCTGGATCGACAGCGGGCATCGAGTCAACTGGCCTAATGGAATCATCAGGCTGGATCAGTTCATCATGCTGGGTAGAGGCATCAGGCTGAATGGAGGCATCAGGCTGGGTGGAGGCATCAGGCTGGGTGAAGGCATCAGGCTGGGTGGAGGCATCAGGCTGGGTAGAGGCATCAGGCTGGGTAGAGGCATCAGGCTGGGTAGAGGCATCAGGCTGCAGTGCGGGTGCCGAGGCACCAGGCTGAACCACGGAAGGCAGGTTCTCAGACGGCAGGCTCACCGGTTTGGATACTGGCAGGATGGTACTGGTTGGAAAGAATTTTCACTTTTTTCTGGTTTTAACTACTGGAGCACTGCAAGTAAACGCAGGTCTGCAAACGAATGGAGCAGCTGAGGACAGAGAAGAGCTGGAAGATGGAACAGAGGAGGGAGCAGTTGCTACAGAGGACTTCTTTACAGGGTTAAAGAAAGGATAGGTGCAGCGAGTGGGAACAGAGGACTGGTATGTGGTAGTTAGAGTATACTGGGCAGTCACTGGGGGTGCTGTCGGGGATGCAGGAAGAGTGCCTTGAGCAGAGGAATGACGTTGCAAACTGACTGAGGCTGGGTGCAACAAGTCTGACCATGTCTGCAGTATGGGTTGAACAAAGCTGAGCTTACACAAAGCCTGTCTGGTCAAAGACTGCACTGCGTTTATACAATCTCTTAGTACCTGTGGTGAACATGCAGAATAACACTCCAGAAAGTAATCCACATCATCCTCTAATAACCATACCAGGGACTCTACCTGGTCGGCACTAAATGGTGGCAAAAATTCATCCCTCCATTCGGGGGGGTACCAGATGAAACCAACTCAGCACAAACCTGAATCAATGGCTGCACCTCAGAGAATTCTGTGCCCTGATCTACTAGGCAATGAGCGATCCTTATACACTCTAGTAGTTGATCCCGGGTATACTCCTTCAGAGTCTGATAAGCATATTCTCTGTCATCAAACACTAGCAGAGATAAATACACCACCTCATCAAGATCCATCCTTCCCAGCAACAAGCCAAGATGGCTTCCCTGTGCAGCCACTTCTGGTCAGGATTGGCCTTGGTGTAATGTCAGGGCTCCAGGGTGTGACCAGAAGTGTGTGGAATGACGCAGGGAAACGCAAGCTTCAGATATGTTATAAATAAGACAATTTATTAAAGACAAACATAAACGCAGTGCACCAAACCCCAAGCTAACACAAATACATACAACAAGGTGAAACAAACCCAAACCTAAACTGATACAGATACACAGGTACATACACATATAGAGCACAACGTAATCAGGCAGGTCGATAACTATCGGGCAGGTAGGTACAGGAGGAGCAGGCGGAGAGAGAATGGTCAGGGTCATAAGCCAGGGATCAAAACAGGAGAAGTAGCAGAGGTCCGGATCAGGCAGGGTCGGCAACGAATCAGACAGGAACAGGAACAGGAATGCAGGATACAGGGGCCCATAGAAAACCACACACCAAGGCAGAGTGCAGGTCTGGCCATCCCTTAAATACACCTGCATGAGCAGCTTCAGGTGTTTGGCTGGCTGCAGGGTTGAGTCTCTGATTGCTGGGAGCACCCGCTGGCCAGCCCTGGTACTGCAGCCCACAAGGCAGGTGAGTCCCACCATTACTGGCAAGTCCATTCCTGACAGTCAGCATGGACCAAAGAAGACTGAAATGGAGTTTCACACCAAATATGGTGGTCCCTTAAATTCCAAATGGGTCCCGCCTCCCAGCTACAATTGTTTTTACCCAGTTTGACTTGTCAATCATGCTTTTGTTTGAAGAATTGGCTCTTCAAAGAAAAATAAATAAATAAATATGTAAATAATAAAATGTGTAAAAAAATGTATATGAAATATGATACAGTGGGGCAGCATTGCCACAAACTTTAGCAAGGTGGTCCTTATTTGGGGCAGTTTTTGGCCATAGGCATCTTCATTTTATTTCTCCTGCTGTCTATTTTTCCCCTAAGCTTAAAATTTCCCCTCGTAATTTGCAGCTGCTTTCCCTTTTCTTTACATTGTGAAAGGATGGGCAGCCTATGGATACAGGTTTTCCCCAGCTACTTTGCCTCTAGTGCCCCAACTTAACCAACCCAAGACCAAACTGTTTCACCCTCCTCTTGCCCAGGCCATTTTTCAGTTTTTAGCACTGTCATACTTTGAGTTAATATTATTAATATACAGTATTTATATAGCGCCAAACGGTTTGCTCAGCGCTGTACATTATAGTGGGGGACAGTACATGAGACAATACAGTAGCAAAACAATACATGAGGGGTTCGAGGGCCCTGCTCTTTCGAGCTTACAATCTAGGAGAGAGGGGATAGTGGTACAGGAGGAGGTGGCTGTGGGGGATGGAGTGGTAGGAGGAGTGGATGAGATCGGCAGTTAGGTGAGGGTGGGGTAGGCTTCCCTGAAGAGATGGGTTTTCAGGGTGCGCCTAAAGGTGAGGAGGGTAGGTGACAGTCTGATAGATTGGGGTAGTGAGTTTCAGATAATGGGGGAAGTCCTGGAGAAGTCCTGCGTTACAGTTACTCAGCCAAAACAACACTGCACCCAAATTAATTTTTCAGCTTTTTATATTTGACAGATACACCGTTTTTTTTTGCTTGTATCTTTGCTATATAAGGAATTAAGACCCAAAATTTCGTAAAAAAAAAAAAAAAGTTTTTTAGACTTTGTTATAAAATTTAGCAAATAAATAATCTTTCTTCATAACTAGGGCAAAATGTATTCTGCTACATTTCTTTGGTCAAATATAACCCAAATCCATGTACATTATTTAGTCTGTGTAAAAGCTATGGAATATATATTTGAAAATTGATCAATCCTGTTGTTCTGACTGCCTCATCTCATTTCCTGAGGCCCTAAAATGCCAAGACAGTACCAATAATCCCTTTATGGAAAGTAGACAGTCTAAGGTATTTAGAAAAACGGCATAGTGAGTTTTCCTGCTTACCTATTACATTTTTGGAGGCCCTGAAGCACCAGGACAGTGGAAACACCTACAAACTGACCACATTTTGGAAAGCAAACACCCCACATTATTTTCTAAGAGGTAAAATGGTTACCTCATCAACACAGATATTTTTCTCTGGAGTATACATTTAAGAAAATAAATTGATGAGTGGCCAAACACTGTACAGTTTGTTGTATGCAGGGTGGTTTCAGGGAAGGCAAATGGAATTATCATTGAAGTGTAAAAATGGCATGATCATTAGATAGCATGTCCTGAGCATCATGGAGAAATAGAGTGGCATTTGGTGAATAGGGTATGTGGACCAATAGGAGTGAAGTTAATTTTTTTTGTGAGTCCCATATTCAGTGCAAGTCCAAGGAAAATATTCAATTCTTCTGCGTTCCACTGAAATGGACAGGCATGGGATGAATTTGAATGTATTGCAGGGCATACAGATTGCACTGGTCCGCAATTCAATTCAATATTGGTAAAAAAACAAATGTAACCACCTCAATACGGGATACTTTCACTTTTTCCTGCCCAATCAATTTCAGCTCAATTTCAATGCAGGTAAAAAAAACAAATGTAACCACCTCACGGGATACATTTTTCACTTTTTCCTGCCCAGATCAATTTTCAGCTTTCAATGCTCTCACACTTTGAATGACAATTACTCAGACATGCAATACTGTAATCAAATACATTTTTATACTTTTTTTTTAGACTAACAGAGCTTTCTTTTGGTGGTATCTAATCACCACTGAGGTTTTTATTTTTTGCTGAATAAATGGGAAAAAAAAAAACAAAAATTAGTTTTTGGTATAACATTTTGTAAAGAAGTAATTTTTACTCATACATTTTGCCAATAATTTATACTGTTACACATCTTTGGTAAAAAAAATAACCCAAATCTGTGTGTATTTTTTGCTCTGTGCAAAAGTTTTAGAGTCTACAAGCTATGGTACGTACCAATGAAAATTGAATGTACTGACTGCCTATCACAGGTGTCAAACTGGCAGCCCTCCAGCTGTTGTCAAAACTACAAGTCCCATGAGGCATTGCAAGATTGACAATTACAGGCATGACTCCCAAAGGCAGAGAGACATGATGGGACATGTAGTTTTGCAACAGCTGGAGGGCCGCCAGTTTGATACCCCTGCGGGTCTATCTCATGTCTTGAGGCCTTAAAAAGCCAGCATAATACAAATATTCCCCAAATGACCCCTTTTTGGAAAGTAGACAGCCCAAGGTCTTTAGTAAGAGGCATGGTGAGTTTTTTGAAGCTGTAATTTATTCCCCATAATTCTTTTGAAAATGAAGATATTAAATAAAATGTGTTTTTTTTTGGGTTTTTTTTCAACAAAATTTTAACAACTTATTTCTCACACATGGCATAGGCACACTTACAATTACACCCCAGAACACATTCTGATACTTCTCCCAAGTAAGGGGAAACCAAAAGTATGAGATTTTTTCACAGCCTAGCCACATAGAGGGGCATAAACTCCAAGAAGCACCTTTGGGCTTTAAAGGAGCATACATTAGGCATCTAATTTCCTGACTACCTATCACACTTTTGAATGCTCTGGAGCACCAGGACAATGAAAAAAACACTCAAAATGACTACATTTTGGAAAGCAAACACCCCATGGTATTTTTTGAGGCATATTGAGTCTTTTGAACAAGTCGTTTTTTGCCACAAGTGTTTGGGAACTGTGAGAATGTATTTTGTTTTACACAAAGTTGTCAGATATTTCTAACACACAGATGCTGATGTTCCACTGGGACACCGACAGATGTTGATTGTCCACTAGGGACATTGACAGATGTTCATGGTCCAATAGGGACACTGTCAGATGTTAATTTTGCAAAGGGATACAGTACTATTGCAGCTGTTGTGGGGACACTGGTACACTGTGACAGATATGATGGGACATTGGTACACTGTGACAGATGTTTTTGTGCACTGGTACACCATGACAGATGTTGATGGGGCACTGGTACACTGGCAGATGTTCTGTGCACTGGTACACTGTGACAGATGTTGATGGTCAACAAAGGACACCTACAGATGTTGATGTTACAGTGGGATACTGACAGATATTGATGTTGCAATGGGACACTATTGCAGCTGATTTTGTTGCTATGGAACACTGTTGCAGATGTTGATGTGCACTGGTACACTGTGACAGATGCTGATGGCCATACTTGAGACACTGACAGACGTTGATAGCTCACTAGAGACACCGACAGATGTTGATGATGCAATGGGACACTGACAGATGTTGATGTTGCAAAGAGACTCTATTGCATATATTGCACTGGTACACTGTAACAGATGTTCTTGTACACTGGTACACTGTAACAGATGTTCATGGGACACATGATGCTTGGTGCACTAGTGTGGGATGGCTGCACTCTGTGTGATCTGTGTGTAGCTGACAATAAAATCAGCAGCTATACACAGATTGCTGACAGGCTGCAGCAAATCCCTCTCTCCCCCTCCTTACTAAGCTCTCACTGAGCTGTCAGTGAGGAAAGCCAATACAGAGGCATATGCCTCTGTTTACATTATGTGATGGCTGTGCTTGGATACAGTCATCACATGATCAAAAGGGCCAATCACAGCACCCATGTTCCGGTCTGTGATGTGATATGTCCAAGAGACAGGATCACGCTGCTGCTCGCAAGACCGCTCCCAAGCCCAGAATCTTACAGGACGTATGTCCTGTCAGAACAGCACTTGTCCCACCTAGCCATTTATGTACAGTGGCTGGGCATGATGCAGCAAAAAAAGGAATGGGCATAAAAGTTTGCAGTTACTATCTGAGGGCCTGGCTGTGCTGTAAATCGGGGTATTGTATATGCTGTGTTAGAGGGAAGCCATACAGGATTTGAAAGCACATTTGGGACACTAGTATGGGCCCTGATCCTATGTGGCTGATGTAACATCCCACAGCTTGGCCTTTCATGGGGGTGTACTGAACTACTGGTGCTTGCCTCTTCACCAGAATGTATAGTGCTGCTGGTGGTTGCCTGCTGCTGTTC